CATAGTTAGAGTATGGGATGCATTCACTGGCCAGAGTCTACAATCTCTTGAAGGTCATCAAGATGTTGTGTACTCAATAGCTATTTCACCAGATGGAACAAAGATTGCCTCTGGTTCAAGTGACAACACAGTCATAATATGGGATATATCTACTGGTCAGGGTCTGGGACAGCCCTTTCATCATCAAGATCGGGTAACTTCAGTTGCACTCTCACCTGATGGTACAAATATTGTCTCTGGGTCAGCTGAAGGAGTAGTCTACATATGGGAAATATCTACTGGTCAGACCCTGGGAGATCATCTTGAAGGCCATCAAGATTGGGTGACCTCAGCTGTATTCTCACCTGATGGGACAAAAATTGTCTCTAGTTCATTTGATGGAACAATTCGGGTATGGAAATTAACTGGGCAAAATATAGAACAATCCTTAGAAGGTCATCAAGGTATAGTGGACTCAGTTGCTTTCTTATCCTGTTCAAGAACTAATTATAATCTTATATATTAAAGAACCTATCACAACTTGGACATGGGATGCAAAGTCAGGATGGATTCTTGATACATTCTCTAAAGCTCCAATTGCATGGGTACCAAATAATCTTTGGCCCGGCTTTCGTACTCCCTCAACTCAATGTGTTATTGGTGCACCTGAAACAGTTCTTGATTTCAGTAACTATATTCCCTGGGAGGAATGGGAAGTATAATGTATCACCATTATGAATTTAGAATATATGTTGGATATCTCATGAGTGTCATGATTTACTATATATATATTTCAAAATGTTTCCATCATGATTTTGCCTCTGATGTCAAGATTTTACTCAATGATAATTTCTTTAAAACCCATGCAAATTCCAGGACTAGAGCCAACCATAAAGGCTAAAAAAAAAGATATCCAACCTATGGGCAATGGGGGGAAAAAAACCGGCATGGCTCCCAATTGCAAAGGACAGGATAAAGCATTTATAAGAATAACTTTTATCTTCGGTGGTATAGTGGTTAGTATTTGTGCCTGTCATGAGCCTTAACTCTAGATTGCGTGAGATCGGGATTCAATTCCACGCTTGAGGAATTATTTATTGAATTTTTAACTATCAAAATCACTGGGCAACGGACTAAGGCGTGAAAAAGTCATGATACTTAACGATATCATTATTACTATTCAGGGAAAAGCGTTGTGTTGATGGGGCTTTCAGTGTCAGGTTTTAGAGGGTGAACCAAAGACTGAGGATCAGATTGTAGAAAAACAGCAAAAGAAAAAGAAGAAAAGTTCATCACTACAAATTCTTCCTTCTCGAACTACGATCAAGCTCTTTTCATCTAAAGGACTCCGCAGTTTCCCCTAATTTCCTCCCAATCTTTTCTTTTACGGCCTTTCTTCGTCTCTTCCTAGATACGTGAGATGGAGAAAAATAAAGAAACAAGAAAAGGGAGACAGAGGTTGCGTGTAGATGATAGAGAGACGGTACATCATCTCAGGTATTTATTTCGGTAGATTCCGATACATTGGAAGGGATGGAATAGCAATGTTTAAGAGATGCACCCGTGGTTGGAAGTGGAGAGCGAATGATATACGATAAAGGTTTCGAAGGGGGAGGGAAGGAAAGATATAAGACCACATTTAAATAATGTAAAGCCTTGGGAATCACCTTGAGAAAGAATTCCTATGCAGATATGTCTTTATACGACATTAACATTTTGAATGGAATAACAAGTTTTGGATATAGTCACATATATGTGGTTAAGTGGATTGGATGGAAGACGAGAGGTGGATTGAAGATAGAAACATAGATGGAAGAAGAAGAGACTAAGGAAAGGGAGACAGTGCATAGAATCTAAGCTATAGAGAGAGGATGCTTCAAGTCCCTCATAAGTATTTTATTTCTTTAGTTGATGGATCGGAATGGATCAGACAACAAATTATAACTTTTAGATACACGTACCTGCCAGCAGTTCGAAGAGGCTAGAAGAGAGAGGGTATAGATGTGGGGGCGAAGCACGTACGAGAGAGGTTCCGAAGGACGAAAGGAGGAGGAAGTATGTGCATAAGACCTCGTTCCGTAGTAAGCCTGAGCCCGGGTGAACAACAGAAAAATAAAATATTTCTTAAGCAGACGTATAATACCTGTATATTTACCACGTTAACTCCCCAACCCAACATATCTCACAACACCCAGAAACTCGAGGAGAGATTAAAACAATTTCCTCCTTCTCTGGCCATCGTGAGTCAATCCAGACTTCCGTTCAAGACCTCAGTTCCGTTATAAACCTGAGCCCAAGTAAACAGCTTGAAAAATAAATGACCAACCAGACATACCTGTATACCACGTTAATTCCCCAACTCATCATTTCTCACAACATCCAGAAACCTGAGGGAAAATTAAAACATTACCCTCTTTACCATCTTCTCTGCCCGTCGTGACTCGATCCATATTTCCGTTCAAGTACATACTAAATATTTTATATCTAGTAGGAGAACGAAGCATGTCAATAGAAGAGCGAATAACGAAGCACGTACGAGAGAAGTTCGGGCAAAATGAGAGGGAAGGACATAAGACCTCAGTTCCGTAGTAATCCCTAGTAAACTAAATTTTTAAACAGACATACCTCTATGCAACCTTAATTCTTCGCCCCAACATATCTCATCACCCAGAATCCCAAGGGAACATTAAAACCTCTCCCGTCCCCCTCTCTATTGCCCCCCTGCCCGCCATGAGCCCAGACATCCCCAGGGCCACATTAAAAAAGGCACTAACGCGGCCCCCTCATGACCAGGCTTGGCCTAAACTCTTGCTGCTACAGGCACCCGCAGGGGCTCTGGCAGCGGACCTGTCGACCATCAAAGTCCAACGATCGAGCCTACTCCGTTCAGCTTTGAATTTCTCCCTGTTTGATCTTATTTGACTCCTCCACACGAGCCCACACGCCGGGGATCCGCACCCACCAGCCATCACGATCGACGTCGGTGCCGCTGCAGAATGAGGATTGTTTGATCTGGATTTGAGGACCGGGTGGTCAGGGAGGGGTCGGGATAAGGATGGATGGAGGGTCGGCTGAGGGACGAGAACGAAACTTGGTTCAGACCGTTCTACTAAGGGGTAGGAAGGAGGTGAGTACTTAGAAAAGGGGGTAAAGATACATACGTACTAGGGATCGTCATCGGAGTTGCCACCGGTTAAACATCGGAGAGGAAAGGGGCTCAGAGGGGTCGCGTCAATAGTAGAGTTCAAACATAAATAAGACATGACTTAGCGTCCCTTGGTTCATCAACGATGCCGGTACCTTTTCAATAGCATAGGAGATAGCGCTTGGTATGAGGTAGATGTTGTATTCGTGACATACGTGGATGGAACGCTGGGCCCCTTCGAAAGACAACGCGGATTGGTGGGATAGGAAGAAAAGACCGGATCTACTAATGAACGAAGGACGAATCGGAAGAGATTGCGAATGCAGAGAGCAGAGTAGGCGAACAGAAAGCGTGGCATAATGTGCGCCCACAATTTCATTAGGCAGTCCTCCTCATTGGCCGCCTCTGCCCATGCTTCGGACCGACGGCACCGAACCGAGACGTCCTTATCGCGATCCACTCCCGCAAGCGCATATCACCACAATCTTTATTTATTCTGTATTTCTTCCCCATTCAATTCTGGTACGGAGTCTGCTATCATATCATACAAGTAATTAATTACAATAAGCCATAAGATACCCCGTCTGCGCACTCGAGTTGAGCTATA